TACCAGACTGCATACCAGTCAACAGGACATCAGTGGCGGCCCACACCTCTGCCTGCTGCCTTTCTTTCATCAGTGCCCCTGAGGCCCAGCTCGACTCACTTAGCACAGCAGCCTCAGACAGAGAATGAGAAAGCAGAGGTGCTGGGCTGTTCTAGCCACATGAGCAGTGCATTATTTCTGGATAACAGTAGGTGGCATCATAGTCCCACCATCCTCAGAGGTTCTCCATATCAGGGCTTCAGTAAGCAGTGTCCATCATGACTTTCCAGTCACAGGTTGGATGTGCAGACTCATAAAATGTTCATACAGTGAATGATTTTCTATTTTTAGATTGTTATATTTGATACTTAATGCAGATTACACACACACACACACACACACACAAAAAGACAAATTTAGAGGTCTAAAGTAGTGTTGAAAAGTCTTCTCCATGCTGCCAGAAGCTAAATTATGAACCATTTATTCAAATATTTTGCTGCCTTACAAGTAGTCAAGTCTAAATGAATTGAGGTTAAAAACACTCTAATTAGCCTTTAAAATGCCTACTTTGTTTTAGTTTCTGAAAGCAGAATGTTAACTTCCTCCAGTCTCCTTGAATGCAAATTGTGAGAAAAACAAAACGGATTACTTTCATTATTATTGCAATTATTATTTTTCGATTCATCATGAGTGTCACCCTGGACTGTCTGACAAAAAGTCTAAAACCTACAGATACTCAGTTTACTGTCTTAGGATGCTGAGAAAACCAACAAGTAACAAACATGAATTTAGGCATTTTTGCTTAAAAATATGACTTAAATGATTCATTTATAATCAGAATTATTGCAGCTTTATTTTCTGTTCATCAGCTGATCCAGTAAGCGACTAAGTGCTTTATCTCTAAAGGACATGATCTTTATTTCTCCACTTATGGCCACCAGTATATCGTCCTCTTAATATTCTTGTAGCTACAAAAATAACTATGGAAAATATACATATATATTTTCTTCTACAAATTGGGCTCGATGGTTATCCAAAGCTGGCGCTGAGCTTTACATTCTCAACATGCCTGAGCAGTGATCGGAGCATGGGTAAGGTTGCATTTCATTTCCTGGAATTTGAATTGAAACCAAAGCTGCCTAGATATAGAAAGATAATACTGATTGGGTGCAGAGCCCAGAAACACCCAGACATAACATTTGCCTTCGGAGGCATCAAGGAGACATTTGAGAAAATGTCAACACAACTGTCATTTTGCTTGTTAGTTCATACTGAACTCTCATGAGTTTCTATATACTGAGAGACTTGTGTCACACTGTATTATTGGAAGCTAACCCAGCTGTGTGGTAATAGAGGGTCAGCCGGCAACAAGCAGTAAAAGCCTATAGATAAGGGATGTGATGGTTTGTGCATTTGAATCGAACTGTAACAGTATGATGCACACCACAGCGCATAGTATTCGAAATTATTGCATGTAATATAGATCCAAATTTCATAAGCAAATTACACCTGGAAACTTTTAGCCGTACACTATATGCTGGGGTTAGCATAACTTTGATTGGCCCTTTCGTAGCTGCTGTGGCCCAGGAGGGAGAACGGTCTCAGGGGGTCTTCTACCAATTGGAATCACCCAGATGGGCTGATCACAGGGATGATAAATGCTTTGAATGTTTAACTCAAGCCACGGTGGAACTAAAATGTTTTTATTTTATTTTATTATATGCATTTAGGTATTTTAAAGCTTTGTAGTGCAAGAGATGCTTTTTAGATTTATATCATAGCCTGTTGTGATCTGCTGCTTTTTAGGAAAGTGTCAGTGTTGGTACAGTGTAATGAAAAAAAGTTTAGCAAAGCTGCCAGTGGGCGAAATGCTCTCATTCCCCATTCCTGTTCAAACTGAATGGGGGGAAAAACCAATCCTTATGCATGTAAGTTTTTTTGTCTGCTGTATCAAACTTGCGCTGGCCCGTGACTCCTAATCCGGGGCATAAATTGAACCGTGACTTTTGTCTACCGTTACACCCCTACTATGGGGTGACTGAAGGGACAGACAGACTAAGGTGAGTTATTAGTGGACTCCTCTCACTATAGACCAGGCTGTATGTGAAGGACGGTCACACAGACAGACTGACGGACTGCTGGCGTCGGCCAGCCTGGCCGTATATATAGGCCCTTTCATACTGCACCCCTTGGCACAGTCCCAGCTCACATATACCGCTAACTGAACTCAGTGTGTGTGTGTGTGTGTGTGTGTGTGTGTGTTTGTTTGTGTGTGCTGAAACATATTTCGGGTGTGTGGGTGACAGAAACAGTACGTTCTTAGTATTTGGCAACAAGACGCCGTGTACATTAAATTGCGTAATGCACACATGTCAGTGGTTTCATAAGATTCATCTTTTTTTGGCGTGATAGCGGGAAATGTGTGTGTGTTCGTGTGTGTATGTGTGTGTGCTTTCTGTCAGTATCACCTCTGTGCTGGGGAACTTGGCGAATGCAGTGACATGGTCTCTCTAATGCTCTCCGCGCACACATGCACTCAAGTTGCTGGAGCCACAGTGGAGTGTGTGTGTGTCCATTTGTGTGTGTTTGTGCACTGTGGTCCAGAGTTTGACACTGTGCAATGTATTCCTGGAAAGCCTGTGTAGGAGTGTAGGGAGGCCAGGGCTATTCCACAGTCGCACCGTAGCCAGTGAGGACTGTTTTCTGGAAGCTTCTCTGTCACTTGGAGCGAGGCAGAGAAAAGAGTTTATTAGCGTTTTATTTTTTCCTCGATATCAACACCTTCAGGGAAAATGTGCAGCTCACTCTTTAGACGAAAAAGAGAAGGCGTCAACTGGCATCTTTGACGCCATTTGTATGCATGGACATGCTGTTAAAGTTCACATCATTATTACACAACATGCACCAGGAGGAGGAATGTGGGGAGGGCCTGAGCTGGATGGACAGAAGGGGAGAAGAGAGAGAAAGAGGGGGGATGTGTGGAGAAGAGACTTGAAAAGAAAAAAGGATTGCCAAAGAAGCAAGAAAGCTCAAATTAGCCTAATGAAGGGGCTGCCAAGGGAGCAATAAAATCAAGGGAAGTTAAGGTGCAGGCGATGAATAAGTGCAGGAAGGAGGAATGGATTGAGACTGAATAGAGGGAGGAAAGAGGAGGGGGTGTTGTTTTGAACTGCATCAATAAAGCTCAGGCTAATTGTGCCTCTGCTGTCTGCAGTGTTCACCCCTCTGTTCCTTCCACCATGCTCCCTTTTCAAGCCTGCTCTGTCCCATACCCTACAGAGTCTTCTCCTCTTCCGTTAACTGTCTTCCTCCCATCCTCCTCCTCCTCTCCTCCCTCCAGTGGCTGTTGTGTAACTCTGCAGTGACTGACTGAGCAGCGGCAGCAGCAGTGATGCTATTGATCAGCAGTTCTGGTGCCAGGCTGCTCTTATTGTAATAAACGAGCTTGGAGCCGTTGAAACCGACCCTGAGTGCTTTTGTGGGGAGTGGAGGAATCACACACACACGTACACACACACACACACACAGACTCTGCACCGCACTCCCATGATGTAATGCTGAATAACCCCACATGCTCTTAAACTTACCGCTTGCCTGGATTCATCATTTTTGTACAGTAATCCCTCCAGACCTATACACACGCACACAAAAATTAATGAGACATTTAATTTTATTATCAGATTTTTTTGTGGACATGCTGCTGAGGATTCTTGGAACTGTTTCGTTGACTTTTCTTTTAATTAATCTCTGTCGTCTTACAGTTTTGAAGCTTTCGGCTGAAAATAGCTCCTTTAGTCTTTGTTTTTGTGTCTTCTGATAGCTTCGTAAAAGTTCCAACAATGTCATTTTTGGAGTCGCTTGACAAGTGCTAAAGCATATTGCATGATATGGTAAACATCCTGCATTTTAATCCAGTTTGAGACCCTCGTTGCACGTCTTCCTCCCCTCCCCGACGCTTCCTCAGTTGGCTGTAAGAAAAGCACATCTGGTCCTTCCATTTTTCAGTCTTTGTGGTCTGGCTCTCTGCTCAACATATTCCCACTCCCCCCTTCTCCCCATCCATCCATCTTCTCTCTTCTCCAACCTTTCTGTACCAGCTTTTTTTTTTTATTAATCCACCACCATACAAATCCAAGCTTGACAAAACAAGAGCTTTGACTCACCTGAGCTGTATCTACTGTACACACACACACCCAGTGGTGTAAAGATCATCCAGTGGGGGCAGTGAGCTCGCTTCCCCGAGGGCATGCATACACACTTTGGGCGGGCAGTGTTAAAGATCACACTCTCTCATTGTAAAATCACTCCAGTGTCACCTCCGTGTCTGCTCAAAGTCACTTTGAGCTTTACCCTGCCTGTCGTTTCCTCCGCACCGAAACATTCCTGCAGCTCGTATCATTGTCAGTGCTTGCCGTGTTTGTCTCAGAGGATGCTGAAAATGCTGCAAAGCACGGAAATTACTCACCAGCCAGAAGTGATTAGGGTTCATTGTTAATGGTCACTTGGTTCATTGTGCTCACAGAAGCACCTGGTGTGAGGAGGTCAAGAGTTCGCTTCAAATAAACATCTGTGATCATGAAAAGTATCACATCCAGAAAGTCACTATTACTTTCATCCTCTAATTTGATCCAGTGACATGTGCTAATAATATATCAAATAAAAGGCTGTACTTCTGCTCATCTGGAGCATGTTTACCAGCTTCCTGTGTCATGAAATGCAAACTGACTCAAGAGTGTGTGTGTGTCCATTAGAAAGACACAAATAGGAAGGGCTACTTTGGATTTAAATGGCATTAATGGATCCTCAGCCCTATTCTTAGCCATAAGTCTGTCTCACCCTTCAGGCGTTGATAAGAGCCGCGTTGGGGTGGTGGAGTCTGGTTTGTGTTGAGCATATGGAGGAACATAAACGTGTGTATATTTAGCTCCTGAGATAGGAAACGCTGCTGAAACATGAGAGCCTCCTCAGGACCGTGAATGGGGAAAAGAAGAAGGAAGCTGGCTCGCACCGATAACCATTTTCCATAAAGGGCTCGCCGGCTTGTAAATGTGTTTTTAATGTTTGTGTGTATTTAGCTGTCGCTTTAGTTCGGGTTTATGTAGCCGAATTGAGTCGGAGGAGTGGATGTTAGTGTGGAGATACTGAAAGACAAGATTCAAGTTGCGCGTGGTGTTTTTTTCATGTGTAAAAACGAGGTGGCTTGCGTCAGCGCGGCAGCGAGCACAAAGCCGACCCAGCCTCAACCAGACTCCGTGTTAATATCACGAGATTTAAGCTGCGGACCTCGCGCACGCCACAGATACCAGCTCTTATTGTTGTAACCGAAAAAGCCTGCAGTGTGAAGAGTCATCAACCCTGCCCCACGGAAACTACACCGAGGGGGGGAACCAGAGGAGGAGGAGGTGGAGAAGGAGGAGGAGGTTTGGGAAGACAGAGAGAAAGGTGCTGGAGGAGTGAGGGAGGACTGCACAGAGCAACTATCCGTGTTGTTCCGCGTTTGTTTGTTCTGCAGTCTGTCCAGAGAAGAGAGAGACACACGCGCGCGCGCGCGCACACACACACACGGTGGGGTTTGTTTCTTTCAGGGCGCGACTAAAAGCTGAAACACCGTCAATTCTGGATTTCTTTATCCGCTTCCTGTCGTCCAGGATGAGGTTTAAACGGAACGGGTCCTATACGCTAAATAGGTAAGACACTGGGGTAACTTAATGTGTTATCCATATGGAGAGGAAGAGGAGGAGGAGGAGGAGGAGGAGGAGGAGGGAGGGGGACAGCATGGTTTGTTATGTGTTTAGCTTATAAATCAGTTTCTCTGTGATATTTCCATAGAGGCTCACAGTGGTGACTTTATAGTGTCTTTATTGCACTTCATAGTATTTCTATAATATCTTATATTAAAGATAAGACTGAAGTAATGCTATAGCAGACTTTTTTATTGCAACGCACACAAGCTGCATGGCACCTTCTTTATTGTGAAATATATTAAGGTGTTTTGAGGCATCTGATGATAAATCACTGTGACACTTGAACTTTCCGCTCTTTATATTTGCAAATATACAGTTGTTGGCACAATCATGGCTGATCAGGCATTGATAATATGTCAATTTCTCTCAAGGGTCCCCTGATTTCAATGTGGCGCCCACGTGTAGTTTTGTCAGTTAGGCTGGATCGGGAGAAACCTGTCCGTCTTGCTTTAAGGGGTTGGGCTCACTCTTTTGTTTCCCTTCTTCCATTATGGAAAAGAGCAAAGTGATCTCTCTTTCCCTCTCCTTGCCCTCACAGAAATGCCCCCCTCTCGCCGCCCCATCACCTAGCAACTTTGCATGTGTTTGTGTATGCTGTGAGAACGATGTTCACTGTGTGTGTCTCTGCCTCTTTTTCCCCCTAACCCACTTTCTCTTGACATAATTGCGACGGCCTCTATTCGTATCCTGGCGTTTCTAAACCCGGTCACGAGTTGGGTCTTTCCCCTGCCCAGTGATTTGGTCCCACTCTCTCTAACTCTCTCTCTCTCTCTCTCTCTCTCTCTCTGTCTTCATTGTGTTATCTCTCCAAGTCACAAGTTTTATAAGAAAAATTCTTTCTTTGTCTGTCCGCTGAACCGAGTCACACAGCCGTCTTGAATCCAGCGGATGTCTTGCTTTTGTTGTTTGTCTGGATTTCATGATAAGGGCCAAAAGTTAGAGGAAGTACACACACACAAACACGCCAGGTGACCCTTGTGAACTCGCTCATATTGTTGAAAGTGACAGTTAATCCAGTGGCAGTTTCACTTCTTCCACTTTTCCTCTGGCACTCCTTTTCCCCTTTGCCTTGTCACAGGGCATATAGCCTTCCGCTGTACTTGACACACACAAAAACCCACATCCTGACTTTTAGGTACTGAAACACAAAGGGAACTAATGAGTGCCAAACACCCACTTCATCACACAGCCCAAAATGCGAGAACGATGTTATCGCTTCATACCCCTCCTCCCTTTATCCCTCTTTCTGTTTTCACTTAGGAAGTGTGTGCAAGAGAAGTGTGTGTTGCCACCCCCCCACTCCCCTTGCGATTGTTGTGTGAGCGATGGTGTGTTGCAAGTGTGCATTCACATGTGTGTGTGCAGGTGAGAGGGATGAGGTAATTAAACAGTGAAAAAGGAGGCCTGTTAGCTGCAGCTCCTGGTGACAGCCCTCCAGAGAGAAGGAGGAGGTGGAGGAGGGATGACGTCATGGGATGTAAAAGTGCTTTGCTGGGCTGCTGCGGTCCGTCTTTGTCATCTTTTATCTCAAAGAGAACAGGAGAAGCAGAGGGAGGACGGGCAGTGTTGTCCTGTGGTGTCGTCTGAAGTTGTGTGCAGCGGTGTTAGGTGAAATATCCACTACCTCTGGCTATTGTTGAATCCATCTCACTGTTTAGGAGGTCTTTTGATGATAGAATAAGAGCAGAACTGTCCCCCTGTGGTTGCTACATAACTCCCATCTTCTGAAGGTGACTGCCATCTCTGCATCTGTTGTCTCAGCCTTCTCCTCGGCAAGCTGCAGTGATTTGTTTCCTCTGAACAGAGCAGAGTCGGCCTGTTTGACATTGAACGTCAGTGTTCAGCTGTGTCGTCTGCCTTCGTCATGGTCGGCTAATCCTGTGCTGGCGTCTGACTGCAGCCTTCGATTACAGCACCACACACACCTGACCGCTACAGTGCTTTGTGAGCGTTTGTGTGTGTGTGTTTCTGTCTGATGTGTTAAGAAGCAAGTGAACAACAGAGGGCAAAAAGAAAGCGATTGCTCTTAATGAATGATGCAGGAAAGAAAAGACGTATCGAGGCCCACGATTCACCCTGTGTCCTTCACCTTATTTGCCCACACCATAACACAAGTGCTCTGCAGCGATTGGCTCGCTTCCTGGGGGCTTGTCTCAGTGCTAGCCCCTCCCGTCCTGTACCTCTGCATCATTTGTGTGAATGAAGAGTCACTGTTATTGTATATGTGCACACGGTGTGCTGCATGGGTGTTCACGTGTGCAGTCGCACCTCGGTGTTGACTCAAGAGTTGACAATTAGCCATTTGCTCTCAGAATTTGGTTATGTATCACTTCATGCGGAAAAGCACAAAGGCTGTCAACTGGCTGCACTGATTAACTTCCCAGAGAGGTTTGACAGGATTTGACTGCAACTCAGATTTAGCAAACAGAGTGTGTTTGGTTTGCTTGAGCGATGGGTGGAGATAGGATGTTTAGCCCTTATTTAGGATGTATACAGATGGCTGAGATTGCAGCCTCTCAGGGATTGTCACCCACCCCCCTCTGTCTCTCTGTCCATCGCTCTCTCTCTTCCCTGCAGTCCACCCTGTGCTGCCCAGCAGTCAGCAGTTTGTTTATGGGACTCTGTTTGCCAAGCTAATCTTCCCGCCTTTCAAGTGGGAGCCAGCAAGCGAACGAGAAGAGAGAGAGAGAGAGAGGGAGGGAGAGAGGGAGAGAGAGTGCAAGAGTGTGAAAGTGAGTCAGGCAGTTGCAGTAGTTGGAAGGGAGAGAGAAAGAGAAACATGCTCGGAGAAGTGTGTCCGGTTTTGCGAATTATGTTTTTGTTTTGAAAAGTGTCTATCTGCGCCTCTGCTCGACTGACTTCCTGATCTGACCGCGTGCATCCGTCCGTCCGTCCGTCTCGCGTGTCCTGCGTTAAAGTCAGAGGCCATTCCAGTAGCTGTGCGATTACACAAGGTGCTATGCCGGAGCTGCTGCACCTGTAGCCGAGTTTCCCAGAGAGGAGTGGAGACGGGGGAGGTTAAAGGGAGGAAGGGTGCTGTGGGTCGGAGCCTCGTCAACCCCGGCTCTGCTGCTTCACCGCCGACTGGATGGGGGTTCTGGTGTGCTGCGACTGCTTCTTCTATCGGTAGTTAACCAAGTCACTGTTCTTCTTTTCTCCTCTCTTGACCTTTCCTTCCCCTTTACTGTTGTTGTCGTCGATTGTTGTTGTTTACATCATACTTGACTTTTCAGCATTCTTCTGCTTACATTGTCAGACCTTGATTAACGTCTCTGTCTGACCCCCACACACACACTCCTCCCCCTTTTGTCTCCTTCACATTCACTCTCTCTGTTATGCTGCTGCGGTTTTGTAGGAGACATTTGAGGACAGTGCTGCTGTAGCAGGCAGCGATTCTGCTGTAGTCAGACACAAGGGGTAGCTTGACTTGTGGGAGGGGAGGAGGAGGAGGAGGAGGAGGAGGGAGGGAGTTGAGGACAGAGGGACAGTGATGGCACACAGCCATCCTCCTATAGCTGTCTGAAGGAGAGGCTTGTAAGACGTTGTTGGATACAGGGTTTACGAGGAGGCAAGGTTAAGGCTAGTTGGAGTGAAATGGCATGCAGCCAGAAGTTGTCTAGTCAGTCAGGCTTTCCCAACTTTTCCTCTCATCCTCCTGTGTGCCCCTTTGGCTGTGCCGCACTGTTTATTTGGACACAGTGTTCCCTTGCAAGGGGGCAGGGAGGTGCTTTTTGCTTTTTTGTCTGTTTTGTTGTTTGCAGAGCATAGCCTTAACAGACTTTGCTCTTTTTTCCGGTCATTGCCATCTGAGTTTACCTTCGATTTTGCACCGTACCTGTGACAACTCACATGTTAGCACTCGTATAACTGGACATTATGCCTGAGAGAAAGGCTATATGATTTAGGTTCGGCTCTCTGGCAGTCGGAGCAGAAAGGATCTGGTTCCCCTCTCTTGTGGTTGTGGGGTTTAGCCAGCCCGAGCCTGCCTCAACTGCTGTATAAAGTCTAAATATAACTTCTCTAAGGAGCATTTTGATGGTGAGGGCAAAATTGTAGCTTTAACGCAGACACACACATCACAGCTGGATTAGATTAGGCCTCGCTGTGATTCGGAACTTTGTTTACACTTCAGTGCTACTCTTAACATGAATAACGGCCTGTCGTTAATGTGTGTATGTTTGTCATGTATCTGTGAAGGCTGCACATGTGCTATATACTGTAAGGTCTCAGTGAAATACACACAGAAGCCTTGTGAAGGCCGGCTCTTGTGCCAGGAGTACTTATACTCTTTTCTCTCCCAGTCATGATCGAGGCAGGGGTGGGACCTGGACAGCACACTGATGTCTCATGGGCTCATTAAGCCAAAATGGGCCGTCACGTCTATTTTTAGCATTTCCTCTCCCTTGGCGCCTCCGTCAGCCAATCAGGCGGCCTGGCAGTGATGCTGTATGGCTTGATTGATGTGTGTTTTTGGAGGCACACCCATCCAAACAGGTCCTCGTTGACCTCGAGCCGGGCCAGCCCTCTGTCCCCTGGGCTCCGGTGTTTCAGCTTTCAACAGTAGCATTGTGTGGAGTAGAAACTGGCTGCCAGCACTCAAGCGGCGTCAGCTGTGATGTTGATCGTCCTGTGTAGAATGGAGCGATTGAAGAGTCTGTCATCATATGACGCAAAGTAAAATGTTTTGGAAGTGGCCTTCATTTCTCAGCTCTTGCATGTTAATGTATGTTTTGGTACAGTGAGGAGCAAAGTGTTATATGTTAGGGGAAATTTAAGCAGGATATGCTTTGAAGTACTGAAGACAGTCAACAGATTCAGTCTGAAATTGCATAAACATAAGACAATGATATGTTAGTTTTATTTAATTTTGAATTGTGTTTATTATCATAAACAAATGAAGATTAAAAAGGAAATGTTTGACATTTTTGGATGGGATTCATTGA